GCGGGGCGGGTGGGGCGGAGCTCCGCATCCCGGTGACGCCGGCCAACCCGGCGGCGTTGCGGCGCGGCTCGACTACTCTGCCGCCGCCGCCAGCGCCGGCCTGTCTTCCCGCTGCCGAGCCCTCGCCGCCGCCTGCATGGCGCTCAGCGGCCTCTGCGGATCCGAGGGCTCAGACCCCTTCTGGGTATGTGCGGAGACTCAGGGACGCGCGGGGCTCGGGCCGGGAGGCCGCTGCTCGGCGAGGCCGGTGGCGCGGGGAAGCGCGGGCCCTCGGTCGCCCGGCACCCCAGGCACCTCGGTCTCACTGGGCAGCCTCCCGGGATTTCTCACCCGCGAGTGCAGCTGATGGGAGAGTTGGGTGACCTGGGTCCAGGCAGTCGAGTTAACGGGGGTGGTGACCGCGTTGTGGAGGAGCAGGAGGGCTTGTGCCTGACCTAGGGCTTTGGAGAGAGCTAAGGGGCCTCTCTGCTTTGGGGTTTTCTCCTCCAGTTACTAATCTAACAGGAACAGGAGCTTTGGGTTCGTTCACATCGTTTTTTTTAGTGTTGGGTCTCTCCCTTTCACTACAGCCACCTCCTTGCTAAAGGTTGAGCTGAGGAGAGTCCCGGACCGTAGACAGGGACTTAACGCTGATTGGATTGGGCTTCACCCCAGTTGTTTTACTCTCCCTTACTCTCTGTGGTTACATATTTTTGTCATCCTTTCCTTCCTTTCTGCCTGAATGCTGTGGGAGGGGGTTCAGTAGACCTGGCAAGGGCAGAGTCCCGAGCAGGGATGTTCAGGCCTTTTCCACTGACCCTCAAGTTCAGCCTGGTACCTGTGGCTGTGCCTTGCCTGGTAAGGTGCTGAGGTTCCTCTCTGGCATTGCCTTGGGATTTTCTTCTGAAAAATGGGGTGCTCAGGCCAGCCAGGCCTCTAGAGTTCAGCTTCTGGGGTTTAATCCCCAGTGTCACTGTAATGTGATTTATCCTGTTGCATAGGAAGGCACTCCTGTGTCGTGCCATCTCGATTAGTGGTAAACATGATAGGAAAATCCAGACACTTGTTTTTTGCTTTTTCTTTAGGTTACAGGAAAAACACCCCAAGTTTTTCAGGAGCTGGTGATTAGCATCCAGAAATACGTTCTGTTTGTGAACCTTTCCTGAGTGTTGAAGAGTCACTCTCGAGGGCCCCAGTGGCTGCTTTTCTTGTTAGGCGGAAAACCCATCATACTTTTACTCTCACTTTGAAATAGCACGTATACTTTGCTTTGAGGGCCTGCAGGTGACTGGAGCCCACTGGTAGCTGGAGCTGGGAGCACCTGTGGTTCCCAAGCCCTGTACCAGGTGAAGCAGCAGCAGGATTATTTCTGCATGGGTCCACGTGAGGAACTGGCCTTGTGCTTCATGAATTCTGGAGTAGTTCCTTGTTCATTTTCTTCTAAAGTAAGCCAAGGAAAGCATAGGTGAGGGTAAGTTAAATGCTGTTTCAGGATTTATTTCACTGATGGCTTCTGGCTGGGGGTGGGAGTTGCGTTCTGTTTGAGGTACCTGCTCTCCTCTTGGGCTAGCTAAATAGCCCATCCAAGAAACAGGTTGTGTCTTTTTCTCTTCCAAGGACCTTTTGCTATAGCAGCTGCCTGAGTTGTGCTTGATGGTGGTGGTCCTTAGTCTTCACCTCTGGCAGTCCGGCACCTCCCTCAGCTGTGGCCTTGTCGAGTCCTCCTACTCCTCCTCCCTCTGGATTCCTAGACCTCCTGGATGCCCCAGTTTCTGGAGATGCCCTGGGACTGGAATTTGTGAGTGGGCAGCTGGTGCACAGGAGCCTCCAGCTAGCAGGAGAATGTGAAGGTAGCACGACACTGGTGGCATCTGGGTTTTCCAGGGCAGCAGGCTCCAGGCCGGGAGAGATGCTGTGCCAGGCTGGTGGCTGTGTGACCATGAGCAAGCCACTTCACTCACCTCCCTGTCCTTCACTTTACTCCTCTGTAAAATGGGGACATGAGCTACATAGCTTAGTTTCTGTGAGCTGTGAATCTGTGAGTAGCTCAGCCTGTACCTGCCACAGAGATAAACGGGTTGTCAGCGTTATTTCCAAAGATAAAACATTCCATTTCCAGTTATTTAACTTTCTTTGGACTTTTTCTATTGCCTGTGGAAATGGGTTTGGGCTCTGTGGGTCATTTAGTTAGTCATAATTTTTTTTTTTTTAAAGACAGGGTCTCCTTAGCTGGCCTTGAATTCACTGTGTAGCCCAGGCTGGCCTTGAACTCACAGTGATCCTCCTGCCTTGGCCTCCTGAGTGCTGGGATCCCAGGTGTGTGTTGCTGTACCCATCTCAGCTACTCATAATAGGTTCCTCTTGTGACCCAGGCTTTACTTTTAGAAATCAAGGTTGCAGGCCCAGGTGTGACCCTGTAGTGCAGTGATAGTGAGCCTTGTAGAGCTTTCAGTGATAATAAACAGCTGGCTAGGGCACGCATGCCTTAGGTTGGTCGCTACTGTCTCTAGAGCCTTGTTCCTGTGCCAGTGTCTCTTCTGGGGTCCAGGAAATGCCCAGGAAAACCAGGAGGGAGAACAGTCCAAGGTAAAGGTCCTGATTCAGTGCCTTCCCTCGGGCAGATGCACTGGAAGGAGCAAAAAGGAAGTTTGTTCCCTGAATGGAAAACTGGGGCTGAGTTCTGGGGTTTTCTTTGGCCCTTGAGCATGGTAGTAGTAGGGTCTGTAGCTGATAGGAAGGAAAGGGTGCTCTTGTGACTGATGTTTGAATGGTGCTCAGACAGATCGATCTGGGGCTCCCCTTGGGAGTCAGTTTCTGAAAAATACGTAGTGATGCATCTCAAGTCCTGAATGAAAAATTGGCCAATAGGGGCAAATGGAGATGGTAGCTCAGGGGCGTGGTACGGTGTAGTTCACAGAGCAAGTGCTCGTATTCCTTGGGCTCAGATCCTGACCCTGCAGCTCAGTGAAGTACTTTGCCTTTGTAGCCTCAGTTTCCCCATATAGGATAACATAGTCCCCATAATGAATAGATGGAGAGAGAAAGAATCCTTGGTGACCGCTGCTGTGTGGCCTCCCTGGGTGGATGTTGAATCTGGGGGCCAGATAGGTGGTTGGATGGGGCCCTAGGTCACAAGGTAAAGAGCTTTTGGAGGAGGAGCACTGGGGACCTTGGAGAGAACAGGCACATGGTGTGAGTGAACTAGGCCTTGCGAAGGAAGCCACAGCTGGCTTTTTTGGCCAAGACTCTCTCTCACGAGGGGTGGGGGTCCTGAGCTGCCCAGCTTGCATCTTCTTGATGGTCTTGGAGGTGCCTGGTTGTGAAACATGGTGGGGGAGGCTCAAAAGGCCTTTGGCTGTGGACTAGACCTGGGGAGCAAATCTCTCCACCAGGCGACACAGAGGTGCCTCCCCCTCACCATGTCCCAGCGGAGCTTGGACTCCCACAGCTCGCCCATCTCTGGAGGCAGCGCAGTCCTCACAGAGGACAAAAGCTGCGGTGTCCTTGCTGCCTTTCTTTCCTGCTCCCTTATCAGAACCCTCAACAAATCCTGTTGCCCGGACCTTCAGAATGTATCTGACCTGTCTGCTTCCCACGGCCTCCCCAGCTAGTTCTTGGACTTGGGTACAAACTGCTAATGCCATGACTGTCCTTACTCTACCCTTGACTGCTGCAACCTGGTTTCAGCCCAGCTTCCTGAGGGACCCTGTTAGATTGCACATCAGATTTGTCCCTGTTCTGCTTAGAACCAGGTAGCTGCTCCTCATTTTCCTTACAGTAGAAGCTGGCCTGTTCCCTCTTGGACTGTATCCTTTGCTGCTTTCTGTCTTACTCCAATCCACACTACTGCCACACCTGTTCCTGCCTCAGAGCCTTTGGACTTGCTGTCTCCAAGGCTTGGAATATTCCCTCACCTTCATGCCTCCATGAGCTGTCACCTCAGGCAGCCTTTCCCTGACCTCTGCCACTTCCCCTGCGTGCAAAATTCTCCATTTCACACTCCATGGCTCTTAGTGCTTCCTTATATATTCAATATTAGACTTATTTATAGTGCTTACTCTAAATTTCCACCAAAAAAAAGCCAGCTCTGCAGGGATAGGGATTTTGCCTGTAAGGCTATAATCTCAGCTGCTTTCTCAGTAAACCCTGGTTGAATGCATGAAAGACCTGAAGCTCTAGGATGGCTTGTAAACTTCATTAAAACCTCTCTAGAGGCTTTAGGATGAAATGTCACCTATTGGGGTGTGACTTAGATAGACAAAGCCCTCCAATTCCCATATAGTCCTGCTTATATTTTGTGTTGCAGGGTGTTTTTTTTTGTGACAGGGTCTCCCTACGTAGCTAGATTGGCCTTGAACTTGTCCTGATCCTCCTGCCTCAGCCTCCCAATAACAGGCGTGCACCACCATGCCCAATTTCCCATAGGGTCTCTTGTTTTTCAGACCCCAGCACCTTGCATGTTGTAAGCTCAACCAGCATTTGTGCTTGAGTATCTGAGAAATATGTTCTAAATTGGGATTTCCATTTAGCGTATCAGTGGCCTGGCTTGGCTTTATTCTAATTCCATGAATGGCTGTAATTTCCAGTATTTACTAATGGAAAGATTTCACAGCAACATCTAGATTTTGCATTTCTGAAAATCAGATGACCAGGGTGCATTGAGCCTAGCTGGGCAGACTCCCATGCATAGTTGGATGCAGTCCTCACCTCTTTTTAGTATTGCTCTCATTTAAGGTCAACTGTCTGTTCTCTGTTTCACTGTCCTTTCTCATACCTGGTCACCCTCTGTCAACTATGGCACCTACCTGATACCTGTTAGTGTTTGAATCAGCGTCTGCTTTGTATCCCAGCATTTTGGTAACTACTCTGGGGCCCATTCTGATACATTCTTGCTATGTAGTTCAGGATTCTCCTGCCACAGTCTCCCTGAGTGCTAGCATTACAGGTATGTGCCACTACTTTTTAAAAATGCTTATTTTTGTGGTGCTAGGAATGGAACTTCAGGCCTCTTGCATGCTAGGCAAACATGCTACCACTGAGCTGCATCTCCAGCCTTGACTGGCTAGATTGATCATGCAATCCTTGGGAGGAAGGGAACAGATAAATTAATTATGGTGGCTTGAAGAATTTGCAACAGGAGTCTAATTTGTATGTTGGCTCCAGCTTTTCACATAGTTGGTAAGGCCTAACTTTACCAGATCTTAA